TTTGCACATAAAATGTTTCACAATTTTGGTGTAACATGCTGCGCGCGCACCCTGCGCACCCTGAATTTCCAACACTGCTGACACCTGATCTGTTACCACGGGCAAGTCAACATGGTTATAGACTCGTTGATCTTGATCTTTAAACGTGATAGGATCTGAAATAAGTTCAACAGATTTTAATTTATTCATGTTTTATGAAACAATGATAGATTAATAAGTTTAATATGCAAGATTTATTGTATCTTCTAACACAAGTGTTTGTGTACGAGTATCAATCAATGGTTATGGGAAGGTTTCTGTCGACCCTTTTATATTATAATCCCAGGCTATTTTAAGATTGATTAAATTTTCACTAGTGTATTTTCGCATGTTACACCTTGCAAAAATATTGTTATGCATTTGTCGTGTAATTCTTGCACAAAAAGCTATTTTAAGCATTTTAATGAATTTATGTATGCCTTTGAACAAATAACCATAAGCCAGTATTTTTTTGGCAACCATATATTTACATTGAATTTTTTAAGATTGTCTGTTATAACTTTGGACCTTAATTTTCACGAAAGTCAATTCTGATATTAATGCTAATATTAGTATACTGTATATTGATATTAATATTAATATATTTAAGAATTCAATTATTCATTATTTTTTAAATATAACAATGAATAATTCGTAATAAGTTTTTTTTGTAATGTTACAATTCTATTATTTTTTTCATGAAATTCATATATGTATTCTACGTGGAATCCATAGCTGCCCAAGAGTAAATTATTTATTTTTAATATAAGAAAAGAGAGAATTTTTACATCTTGAAAAAACCAAGTTCATGCGACTTCCTCCTTTGCATTGATACATTTTTTTAAATTTTATATATGTCGATCGCCCTATCGACCATCAAATACACTGTTGTCTCGAATGGCAGATATTTTTTGTTAAATTCTTTTTTTAATATCATGATGTTTGTCATCATTTAATAAGCCTCTCACTCTCAACAATTTCTACGCCTATAATTTTCTTTACTACTTCTGTGTTCGAGACACTCATATTTAAGTAAATTGATCTTTATATAACAAAAAAAAAATTTTTTTCTTAATAAATGATGTTAAGCCCTATAAAAGTGATTTCTATTTATTGCTTAAATTATATGGCCTTTTTAATAGAAACGGGCCATATTGTTTTGAGAAAATTAAAAAAAGGTCTGTATTTCAAGTAATTCACTATTGTTTTTAAAACTTTAATGGAAAGGTATCTCAAAATTTATCAAGTAAAGCAGGAATAGTTTCTAAATCAAAAATGTTCTAGATGAGGAGTTACATATAACAGCAATATTAACTCAAAATTGCTTTTTTCACAATATTGTACAATTTGAAGTATTTTTTTTTTTTATTTGCGCGTTTTTTCTCTCTCGGGAAAAAAATTAAATCATCATAAATTTATTTATGATTAAACAGGTAGTAAATAGATATAACGCCTGTTGATATATCTGACACAATAGCAAAATATGGTGGCAATTTAGAGAAAAAACTGATTTTGTACTTTATATTTTTCTTAATATAAGCAACAGTGTTCGTTATCAAAACTAAAACATAAGTCAAAACGAAAGATTTTGACTTTCGCACAGTTGTGAAATTCTATAGTTTGGAAACGAACACTAATAGCAAAAAATAAAATGATGATGATATTTGACCAAAGGTTTTTGGAACATTATATATATATTACTAAAATATGCCTATGATGGTAAAATTCACCAGAATTGGCGTTATGAAAATAAAATTCATAATTTATAAATTTAGGATGATGTTAATGAAACTTTACTATCATTTTTATCTATTATAAATAACAAATGACAGAACAACTTCGGGTCTTCGTTTGAAAACATTAACATTCAAATAAAATAAAAACTTTAAAATCATTATAAATCCTTAAAATCGTAAACCTTTAAAATAAAACCACTGTTTTATTTATTTTATTTTCGTTTAAAATGAAGCGTTTTAGTAAAAGCTATGTTTTATTTGCTTTAGTTAGTAAGCAAAAGTTGGAATTGATGTTGGTTATAGTCATTTTATATATGATGGGATTTGTCAATGTTCCATTGTAAAATGATTGTGAACTTTATTAAAAGAAAAATTGAATCTCAAAATAACAAAAATCAATTATTATAATATGTATATTTATTTTGAATCAATGTTTATATAACTTTTAATAACAAACCATCTTTTAAATCAAAAACCAATCCATGAATTTGTATTGTTTGTTCAGCAGATTTAACAAAATAATTTTTACTAATTTTTTCCACTTGTTTCACAACATTAGCTTTGACCAATTTGTCTTGAACTTCAGGAGTTCCAAAATTTGGATTGGTGTGAGAGAATTCGGGGTTTATCGTTGCCAATCCACGTATTCCTTCTAGCCATTTTTCTAGATCAGGTTCAAGGCCTGGCTCAAAACAGCTTTTTGCTCCACCACAACCTGTATGGCCTAAAGAGGGGTAGAAAAGATATTATTTATTTATCATTTTCATTAAAAAGAATTGAATATTTAAATTAAAAATTCATTTATTATTTACCACAAATAACAATATGAGAAACTTTCAAATAATTGACAGCATATTGTAACACTGACATGCAATTGGCATCATTGGGGTTGAATTGATTTGCTATGTTACGATGCACAAATAATTCGCCAAATCCTGATTTAGTGATGAGTTCAGGCGGAACACGAGAATCAGAACATCCTGTATAATGAACGAATGAATGAATAAATTATCTTTACCAGATACTATTTTTATATAACTATAATGATAAAAATCAATTTAAACATTACCAAACCAAAGAACTTTTGGTTCTTGTTTTTTAAGTTTATCAAAAAATTCTTTATTATTCTGATTTTCACTTGACCATTGTTGGTTATTTTCAAGTAATTCTTTAATTTTATCGCCTTTAAAATCATCCTTCACTTCTTTAGCAGATAAGCACCAGTTGAAATAACGAAAATTACTATTTGATAGAATGATCATTTAATATTTTTGTGATTTGGATCAACTTCATTAATGTGATAAATCGTACCTGATTGCTCCATTAACCGCATCATAGGAGTAAGCTTTTCCGATATATAGCGGCCCATCATGGAATGAAACAGTCTCCGGGATGTAACATATCCCGTCTATTTTACCGTCTATGTAAAGATCTAATTTATTTCCAGGACCAGAAAATACATAAGCTATATGGTACCATTTGTTTAATGAAAGTGAGGGAAGAAGGGTGAGTTTTATATAATTAACCAAGCTGGTTGCGAAGCCAGCAGACATTCTCTCTCCATGCATCCAGATCCCAGGCGTCAAGTTTTTATCGTCAGTACCTAAATGTATGTATATTTTATTTGAAGCCGAGAAATCACCAGTTGGATAAAATTATAAAAAAAAAAATCAATTTTAACCAATAATTTTGCTGACGATGCAAAAAGCATACCTTTGTGAAAAATAGTAGTCCAGTTAGGATTATGACTCAAAAGTTTCAATCGGAATGTCACTGACACCTGATTTGTTACCACGGGCAAGTCAACATGGTTAAAAACTCGTTGACCTTGAGCTCCAAACGTAATAGGACCTGAAATAAGTTCAACGGATTTATTCATGTTTTATGAAACAATGATAGATTAATAAGTTTAATATGCAAAATTTATTGTATCTTCTAATACAAGTGCCAATGGTTATGGGAAGGTTTCTGTCGACCCTTTTATATTATAAACCCAGGCTATTTTAAGATTGATTAAATTTCATCTAGTGTATTTCGCGTGTTACACCTTGCAAAAAAGTTAATATTGTTATGCATTTATAGTTTTACATCGTGTAATTCTTTCACAAAAAAATACCAAATTGCTATTTAATGAATTTCTATAAATGTACGTGTACCTTTGCACATATAATCATAAGCCAATAATTTTTTGGCAATTAATGAAATTATTTTAAGGTTATATTTTTATTGTCTGTTATAATTTTGGACCTTAAGTTTCACGAAAGTCAATTCTGATAATTAGGCGTGGTGAATTGGTTATCATTGGATAAATAAAAGGGAATTGCTATTTCTCACCGGTGGTGATTGTCACCACTTAAGGAATTATGATTAACCCCAACCCTAACTCCGCCCCACGCAATTTTAATTCCTTAGGTGGTGACAATCACCACCGGTGAGAAATAGCAATTCTCTAAATAAAAAGGGACACAAAAAATTTCTTTAAAATTAAAAAAAAAATTTAACAATAATAATATATAATCTATTCTATCTACAATAATACCGTTTTGAATAGTCGTGGCATTACTTAGAACCCTTTCAATATAAAAATATATTCACTAAAAGTTTTTAATAATGAGGTTCATGCTTATTATATAAAATAAGTCTGTTCATCTATGAGCTGGATATTTTCATATTAATGAATGTCACCATTTTATTGAAATTTGGTCATATATATATACAGTACTTACCCAAAAGTTTCGGACCCCCTAAGTTCATTAATTACGCAAAATACTACATAACATTTACACAAAAAATTTATATTTATTTATAGCTTAGATTTTCGAGAAACTATATATAAAATTCCAGGCTTTTAGCACCGATAGATCTCAAATAATAATAAATAAAAAATTTCTGATTAATTTTCGAAAATAAAAATTTTGAAGATCAATTTTTTCAATTTTTTGAATTTTTTGACGGATTTTTTCAACATCAACATTTAAATATATACATTTAAAATTTAATATTTGGTAGGCCATCCATTACTTGCAATGCATGCAAGCCTCTTCTGACTGTGTTTATTGAAACTTTCAAACCAGTTTTTTGATTGAGTTGATTTTTTATTACTTTAGCTGTTTTGTGTGGTTATTTTTCATGGCAATTTTTTTCAATAATTTTTGATGATCACTATTTAGTATTTTTGGTCGGCCACTTCGAGGCAAGTTTTTAACATCCCTTCTTTCTTCATAACTTTGTATAGTTTGAATAACTGTGGTTTTAGAAAAGCCAAGGATTTTACTAATTTTTGTTTTTGAAGTATTACCTTTATAAAGACCAATAATTTGACCACGATCAGCTTCAGTTAAATTAGTCATTTTCGTGTTGTTTAAAAATTTATCAAAAAAAAAAGATAATAGAATTACGTATAAAAAAAAATTATTTTGTTTTTTTTTGAGATTCCAATGATCTTAGACTATCACATATAAAAATTTCAAAACACATTTCTATATAGATTTTGGTGCAATTGTTAAAAAATCACTTGTCAAGATCTTTTATTTTCGAAAATTAATCAGAAATTTTTTATTTATTATTATTTGAGATCTATCAGTGCTAAAAGCCTGGAATTTTATATATAGTTTCTCGAAAATCTAAGCTATAAATAAATATAAATTTTTTGTGTAAATGTTATGTAGTATTTTGCGTAATTAATGAACTTAGGGGGTCCGAAACTTTTGGGTAAGTACTGTATATATATATCAATAAATGTTAGAAAGTCGTCATTTTGAAAAGTAATAAATTTGCTATGTTATTACATCCCGATATCTTATATGCACCATTTTATCAAAACTTGGTTGTCATTTATTTAACTAAACAGGATATTTTACAAATATTTGCTGCATGTTTGACCTATGTCAAATTTGATTCTTTTACTTGTGTAAGAAATCTTCATGCCATGTGACCAAGAAATATTCGAGACATTAACATTTCCGAGTTATCTAATGAGTGAAGAAATCCTTTTGCGTTGCAATAGAAATGCACAAGTGAAGTTCATTTGTTTCCGAATTACATGCTCAATAAATTGAGAATATTTACTTCTAGATAATCGCATAATCCAATACTTCCTTTTTCTCTTGTGTGTTACTATTTATGGTTTTCGTATTTATCACGGTTTTGATATTAATATTGTAAATATTGCAGTAAATTTACCTTATCCTTGGATTTATGTTTGCGAGACATATTATGATGTATATCGATCTATGAGTATTTTTTGTGTGAAAATGAGAGAAATTGATTTCACATATTAATATAGTCAAACCTTGCCATATTGGATTATGATTAAATTTGCGTTATGACAGTTGCATTGAACATTGTTTAAAATTTGCATTTGGAAGTTGAAAGAATAATATCCAATTAGTTGTGAAAAATGTATCCAAGTTGACTCTGCTTCCAATAGGTTCTGCAGATTATTCTAAATGAAATAAACCAAATAATTGAAATTACAGCATCAACCAGGAAGACTTATTTGAATGCACAAGTCAATGCAGTTTTACTTCATATATAGATAAGGATGAAATTGTCATAATAGCTGGCTGTGGAATGAAAATTTCGCCTCATTCAGCTTGTGGAGTGAGTGAAATCATATTTTTTCTTGGAAATGAGGGTTTACAAAATGCAAATGCATGGTTTGCAGCTTCTTCCTTCGATCCTTATTTTTCTACGATAAAAAAAATTCCCATTGTGGATTAAGTATTATTTGATAATGGAGCATGTTATAGGATTGCATATGTCTACACTTGGACAACTATTTGAAGTTACATTTTCCAGTTAACAATAATGATGATGTGATATGATAAAAAATGCTAATAAAACTTTGTTATTATTTTTATTTACTATTTATCTCATCTGCCTGTGCTGTATTATAAATAATAAATAATGAAAAACAACTTCAGGTCCTTGTTTGAAAACATTAGCATTCGAATAAAATAAAAATAAAATAAAAACTATGCTTTGTTTTTGAAAGTTTATTTACGATTTTAAGGATTTATTTTAAAAAGATAATGATTTTACGGTTTTCATTTAAAGAAAAGACTTAGTAAAAAGCCATGTTTTATTTGCTGTAACCTTTAATAATGAGCCATTTTTTAAATCAAAAACAAATCCATGAACCTGTATTGTTTGTTTAGCATATTTAACAAAATCGATTTTACTAACGTTTCCCATTTGATTCACGACATTATTTTTGACAAATTGGTCTTGAACTGCAAGATTATTACCAAAATCGATGGGTTTTGCTACTTGTCCAAACAATACCCTCAACCATTTCATTAGATTAGGTTCAAGGTTTGATTCAAAACAACTTTTTACTCCACCACAACCTGTATGGCCTAAATAGGAATAAAAGAGAAATTAATACCATTGCAATCTGCTCTTCTATTTTTTTTTGTGGTCTTTCATTTTTAGTCTAACTTGGGGCACTGCATTCTTTGCATTGAATTATTCCCAAGCATTTCTTGGAGAAATTTATTTTCCATCCTGTACTTTTCAAGATTTAATGGGTGAATCTTGGAAGGTACAGGGTACAGGTGAAATTTGTCAATCCCCATACCTGTACTTTTCTGGTGACCCGAACCTTTAACTAAGGCTCCAAACAAATCTAATTGAATTGAATTTTAGAGTGATTTGATTCAATTCCTAAATTTTATATTAAATTTATATTACACAGTGAATCTCAATGTAGTGTATGTGTATCTCAATTTAGTGGATACTAATGGATTGAGGTTTAATAATAGAATTATTCTCCATATAACGAATTTCTTGATACAGTCAAACCTTGACACAGCCAAATGAATTGAGACATGTAAAATTTTAAAAATCCATTATGACAAGAATTTAATATTAATTATTATTATAGTCCACTGTGAGAAGGTTTGACTCATTAACTACTTCATATTCATGGCGTCAATTATGTGATTAACAACTAATGGCAATGAACATTAAATGAGTTGATTAAAAATACAACTTAAAGCAACTATATATTCTAATAAATATTATCTTGAATGGATTCCTTATAATGATTTAACAAATATTGAAAAGATGTGAAGGTGGTTTTTTGCAACTTATACCAAGCTATTTGGTTAAATGGTTATAAATGTTAGTTCACAGAAAAAGAGTAGGAATGTGGCATTAAAAAAATAGTTCACAAAATATTTCTGATGAAATTCTTAATGAGCAAAATTATTTTATTATAGTTGGCTTGGTCTAAAGACCTCCTAAATTTTGGGCAAATTTTAAAAGTATAGAAGTCACTTTCTGTCCCACCTTTTAAAAAAATAGCTCTATTAGTTGATAGAATATGTCTTTGGTTTTTAATGTAATAGAGAGATTTTCTCAAAAAAATTATTTGTTGTAGAGTTCTATTAAGGTTGTGGGCGAAACCTCCTTAGTAATTGCTGAAACCACAGCAAAACTATATTAAATCTTATCAAAAATCCTGTTGAAATTATGCCGAAATGGCGAAACCTCAAAATGCGAAACTCTGCCGAAACTCTAATAAACAATTAATGTGTAACCTGCCGAAACCCTGCTGATTGATTTCTGGATGAATTTTGGCAAGCAACCTTAAGTTCTATTCTTTTTTAAAACATGTATATACTTTACTATGCTCGCGAGGAATTTGTTCACTATGATCATTTCTAAATTTAGGAAAATATTACCAAATTTAGACTAGCACTTGACTATCGTATCTAAATTTGGCAGTAAGAAAGCTAAAATCACGTGAAGTCCTATTTTTTGAAAAATTTTGAACGAATTACAAAATTGCTATTTTTGAAATTTGGCCGCATGGCGCAGCAATAGACCGAGCCAACCATATATTTTTTATTACCCCAAATAAAATTATGACACATCTGTTATTCCCAGTTGATTGATTAATTAAAAAAATTTATTCAATTGGTCTAAAAGTGACATTATTTACAAGGAAAATTTATAGTTTTCTCCAGGATGGAATAGTCCATGTCCATGTCAACAACATTGGTTATATAAATAAATACAATAAGAAATGAAGTATGAATATAACATTAAATAATTCATATAATATCATGATACATATATATTTACAATTACATTGTTGATATTAATGTATAATATTTTAATGAAGTTGTGTGTATAGTTTCAGAGTTCTGAAAGTTCTTTGACTTTATTATCAAAATCTTCTTGCAAGACATCACTGGAATGACTGAAAAAATCATTGTTTTCATTTTTTGGTTGCTCATCATTTTCCTCATTATCAATTTTATCAACTATATTTGAGCCTGAAATCATTCCATTAAGCATTGTTTCAACATATTGAATATCAGGCCTGCTTTTTGGATCATCCTGCCAACATGCTAAATACAAGTAAATTATCAAAAATTTATGTATATAAATATATAGTTTTTAAATATATATATAGATTTTTTACCTTTGTATAAATTAATGTATTCATTGAGTGTGTTTGGAATAGGTTCCTCACGAACTCCTTGAGAAATATCAAGCATTAAAGTAAATTGTTGATAATGTGGATCCAGATTACTAAAAGGTGGCTTGTTACTAGTCAATTCCCATAATAAAACACCCACACTGTATACATCTGATTTTTTGTTTGGTTTATATACTTGCTTATTGCTATGCTTGAAACATTGTGGGTCAATATAAGGCAGCACTCCTGCCAATTTGAATGTTGAAGTGGTTGTAGATTCAAGTATTTTACGGGAAAGTCCAAAATCTGCCAATTTTATGGTTTTTTGGTGAACCAAGATGTTGTTTGAATGCTTTTCAAAAAAAGATAAACATTATTAAATATAATTTTTTATAAAAATAACAAGCTTATTATTTATTACCAAATCTCGATGGATAATATTGTTTTCATGTAGACACAAAACAGCTGATGCAATCTCATATGCAAATTTCAGCTTTAGATCCCAACTGATTGATTCACACTTTTCTTGTAGATAGCTTCTTAATGTTCCACTATCTGCATATTCAAGGACCAATAAATATTTCCCATTTCCTTTATATATAAATATAAATATTAGTTAATGGAAAAAATCAAAATAGGAAATAATTTAAACATACTTTCATTCATAGTGATACCATATAAATGAATAATATTTTGATGGTGATTAACTTTACGTAACAATTTCAACTAATTGAACCAATTGTTATCATTAGTTGAATTTTTTTTTAATCCACAACCAAAAACATAATATAATTTACCTCATTAGCAATTTCTTTCATATTTGTCATATCATGACTATAGGATTTCAAGGCACAAATACTGCTATTATCCAATGTTGCTTTATAAACTTTTCCAAAACCACCTGAACCAATTTTTTGAATATTTTTAAACCTACTACTGTATTCATAAAAATTAATGTGTTCCTTCTGAATTGCCTCATCAAGCCATCCTGACCAATTATCCTTAGATTTATCAATAATTACTTTGTTTCCATTGATCATTCTATTGTTTGGCCCATCCTTTGTTTCTTTGCTATCTTGACTAATCGGAGAAGATGATGGTGATTTGGATAATTGTAGTGAAGAAATTTCCTGTAGTTCTTCAATTTTAAATCATCATTATTATTATTTTGTGTTGTAAAAGTTAATTTATAATATAATACTTACGAGCTATGAAATAAAAAATAAAACTATTTAATTAGATTGATTTTTTAATAAGGTTTATTTTGTGTTGAAAAGTTAATTTATAATATAATACTTACTAGCTGGTTATTATAAAGAAATAAAAAATAAAATTATTTAATTAGATGATGTTTTAATAAGGTTTATTTTGTGTTGAAAAGTTAATTTATAATATAATGCTTACCCCCTAGTTATTATAATGAAATAAAACATAAAATTATTTGATTAGATGATGTTTTAATAAAGTTTATTTTGTGTTGTAAAAGTTAATTTATAATATAATGCTTACCCCCTAGTTATTATAATGAAATAAAAAATAAAATTATTTAATTAGATGATGTTTTAATGAAGCTTATTTTGTGTGTTGTAAAAGTTAATTATAATATAATACTTACCCCCTGGTTATTATAATGAAATAAAAAATAAAATTATTTAATTAGGTGATGTTTTAATAAAGTTTATTTTGTGTTGTAAAAGTTAAATTATATTATAATACTTACAATCTATGAAATAAAAAAAACAAATTATTTAATTAGAAGATGTTTATTTTGTGTTGTAAAAGTTGATTTATAATATAATACTTACCCTCTATGAAATAAAAAATAAATTTATTTATTTAGATGATGTTTTAATAAAGTTTATTTTGTGTTGCAAAAGTTAATTTATAATATAATACTTGCCCTCTATGAAATAAAAAATAACAAATGAATTATCTTTACCAGATACTATTTTTATATAACTATTATGATAAAAATCAATTTAAATATTACCAATACAAAGAACTTCTGAATGTTGTTCACCAAGTTTAGCAATGAATTCCTTATCATTCTTATTTTTATCCTCTGACCATTTTTTCACTTCTTCAGCAGATAAGCTCCAGTTGAAATAGCAAACATTGCTATTTAATAAAATGATCATTTAATATTTTTGTGATTTAGATTAACTTCATTACCATTACTACAATAAATCATACCTCACTTCTCCATTAAACCCACCATGGTTGAAACTACGTCCAACATACAGTGGTCCATTATTGAAGCTAACCTTTTGCTGGATGTTATAGGACCCAGCAAGCTCACCATTTATGTAGAGGAGTAATTTTTTTTCAAAATCTGAAAGTGTATAAGATATATGGTACCATTTGTTCAATGAAAGTGTGCAAGCAAGCTTGTTAATTCCATCATTATTATTCAAATAGCCTGAGAAACGAACATGCAGATTTCCTGCTTGGTTTGCCCAAAGTCCAGGTGTGCGAACTAAATCCTCAGTACCTAATTGTATGTGCATTTTATTTAAAGCCGAGAAAGCACCAGTTGGACAAAATTATAAAAAAAAACAATTTTAACCAATAATTTTGCTGACAATGCAAAAAGCATACCTTTGTGAAAAATAGTAGTCCAGTTAGGACTATGATCAAAAAGTTTCAGTCGTAATGTCACTGACAGCTCATCTGTTACCACAGGCAAGTCAACATGGTTAAAGACTTGTTGATCATGAATTTTCAACATAATAGGGATTGAATCAATAAGTTGTTTGAATTCTTTATCATTCTTATTTTTATCCTCTGACCATTTTTTCACTTCTTCAGCAGATAAGCTCCAGTTGAAATAGCAAACATTGCTATTTAATAAAATGATCATTTAATATTTTTGTGATTTAGATTAACTTCATTACCATTACTACAATAAATCATACCTCACTTCTCCATTAAACCCACCATGGTTGAAACTACGTCCAACATACAGTGGTCCATTATTGAAGCTAACCTTTTGCTGGATGTTATAGGACCCAGCAAGCTCACCATTTATGTAGAGGAGTAATTTTTTTTCAAAATCTGAAAGTGTATAAGATATATGGTACCATTTGTTCAATGAAAGTGTGCAAGCAAGCTTGTTAATTCCATCATTATTATTCAAATAGCCTGAGAAACGAACATGCAGATTTCCTGCTTGGTTTGCCCAAAGTCCAGGTGTGCGAACTAAATCCTCAGTACCTAATTGTATGTGCATTTTATTTAAAGCCGAGAAAGCACCAGTTGGACAAAATTATAAAAAAAAACAATTTTAACCAATAATTTTGCTGACAATGCAAAAAGCATACCTTTGTGAAAAATAGTAGTCCAGTTAGGACTATGATCAAAAAGTTTCAGTCGTAATGTCACTGACAGCTCATCTGTTACCACAGGCAAGATAGCATGGTCATAACTTTTTTGATCTTGAAATTTCAACATAATGGGGACTGAATCAATAAGTTGTTTGAATTCCTTCATTTTTTATGAAACAATAATAGATAAATTTAATATGCAAAATTTTATATCTTCTAATACAAGTGTTTGTATACAAGTTAGTGTGTTACACCTTTGTTACAGTGCAAATCACCTATACTCAAAAGTTAAAATTTTTGAAATATTATACGATACACATATTGGATTTTAAAAAACCCACCACCATTCAATTCAGCTTTAAAAAGGAAGTCTATTAATCTAAAAAAAAATTTGTCTCAAATTTTCTTTCCATAGTTTTTTAAATTTGAAGGTTATGCTCACAATAATTTTCGTGTTACAATATTTTGAATCTCACGACCAAATTTGATAATGATTTTCTTTTAATGTAATATGTTCGTTAAACTTCTTTGTTGTAAAGAACTATTAATAAAAAAAGGAAATAAATAATCAAATAAATCAAATAAATCAAATGTACGTTGTAGAAAAATATTTTATCAAAAAAATTTTGTTACACGAAATTTACTTGTCTCAATTTCTTAGTTTAGGTGTATAGTGCAAGACACCTAATCCCGCAACTTACTGCGCCTCGGAGACAGTGCTTTTTGAGGATTTTTCAATTCCTCCTAATTCAATAGTTTTCCAAACTTCCTCCAAATATTCGATCTGATTTTACTTTTACAGAATAATTTTGTCTCTTTCATATTTGAGAAAAATTTACAATCAAAAATGCCATATCTACCGATTTCTACAATGTTACACGATTTCAGGATGATTTTTTGGGGTTTTTTTTGTCTTAATTCGTGATCCGCGATAGATGTGCACGCTGTAATTAGTAAAATTTGGGGGATCGTCATTATTAACTGCTTACAATTGACCAACTTTCAAAATTTTTTTACCAATACACATGATTATCATGTAGTTGAACAGGAGAGACCGTCCTATATAAGGAATGGATTTTCACAATTGATTTCAATTTTTTTTATACAGTTTAAAATACTT